AATATTGCTAAGTGATCTTTCATCCTGCTTACGTAGTGACCAGGTTTCTGCTGCATACATTAGGGCAGGGATAATCGTCAAGTCGAAAAGGTTGGTCACGGAGTCGGATGTTCTTTTTCCTCTTCACTACATCTTCAACGCACTCAAACGTTAATTTCACGACCTAAATAGACGTAACTGGGGCACTGGGAGATCTTCGTTTTGTTGAGCATGAATGAGGCATTGAAAATCCATCCGTTTCTCATGGACATGGTTTTCGTTAGATTTAGTTTGGAGACCAATCCTTCTACAAGCGTCGACAAAATCGATAGACATTCGTTCCATTTTGCTGGTGCTTGGTGTTATGAGGACGATATCATCAGTAAGCGGAGATAGTTTGGTTGTCGACCGTCAATTTTCACTCCCATGCCGTCCCAATCTAATGTTCGAATGACGTTTTGTAGGGTGGCAGTGAATAGTTTTGGCTAAATTGTATCGTCTTGTCCAACCGGGGCCTCTATAACCGTTTCTGTTTCCACTGAATCAAAGGATTTTCTCAGATAGATAAAGTGAGGTAGAGCGATATTTTGTACTCTTGTGAAACTTCAGTAAGTCTTGCAATCGTGTGAATGTCTTCTATGGTAATGAATCTTTTTCGAAACCCTGACTGTTCGCATGAATGCCCTACGTCTAGTGTTCTGTCAATCCTATTTATTATGACTCGAGTGAAGAGTTTATAGGCAACGGAAAGCAAGCGGGTTAGGCGATAATTGCCTGTGTCATGAAGGTCTCCCTTTTTGAACAATAACACGGTCTTGCTGACTTTCCATTGAATGAGAACCTTACATTCTAACAAGTAGCGAGTGGAGAGCCGAGCGAGGCTGTTGATAAGAACTGGCGGTAGGTTTTTCAGGTGTTCTGGTCTAATCCTGCCTGGACCGAGTAATGTTCTATTCTTCACCAACACTATACCATGTCGGATTTCGTAAGGGAAGACCGATGGAACGACAGATTCATCCTCTTTTAAATCATTCGACTACAAGAGGATAAGAGGAGAATGCAGTAAGATGAATAGCTTCATATAAGTGCTAGCACTCTCAGCATTCTAATTTTTGAACTCTACAGCAAGGTTTTATAGGTAAATACTTTCTACTAATCTCATAACTAATATAAAAACGATTAAATCTCAAGATGAGGTTTAATTAATTCTCTATGTAGTATGAAGATTCAAAACCTGCTATATCAGTTAAGGTCTCTAGTGAATGAATTATCTACTATCGCAAAAGAAAAGTAGTAGGACGGATTTTTTTGAGTCTCAGGCAATTTCTAGTTGCTTTCTGATATCTGTGTTCTCAATTGCCTTTCTTCATTCAGTCTTACGATGGTGAAGCATAGTACGATGCCGAACTCATGACAACTACCACTGAATAAGCAATCATCCGAGAATAAATTATTCTGCTTATCGCAGTGTAATCGAATTTAGTGGCCAAAAATTTGCAGTTTGTGATGTTGGACAGTAAAATTAATCAGCAGTGGCGCATTTCTAAATAAGAATGCTTGCCTATTCTACATCGCTACACAACTTACAATGCAAAGCAGAATGTCTACTACAAACTCTTTGCGCATTACATCTCGCAAGGCCACAATAATCGCTATATAAGCAGCAGTGGTAGAAACTGTACGTCGTATGCCCGCCTGAACGCCATGAACATGTGCTGTATGGTTTGTGTGGCCTTCCATATCCAATCAGTCTGATCCAGCATCCCTTTAGAGTCACAGTAGAAAAGACTTTACTACTTTTCCTGATATGACATGATGATAGGCTTAGTGGAGAATCTTTCTGTGACATTATAGTGCTTTGTGTATTGTGCGAAATGTCACACAGTGAACCTCATGCTTTTTTCATTCACAGTTAAAGTTCTTACTATGAAGAGATTGTCGAGGACCGTTGAGGACCTGTGAGCGCTCAATTCGTTACACAAAGTAGCTTTTTAGAAAATTCTTTGTGCATTAATTGGAATGCCAACAAAAAAAGTAATCCAATTTTTATAATAGTGAGTAGGAAGATATGGTGGAGATTCTGACAGATTAGACCGATAATGGCAGCATTTTCAATGAAACTTTTATAATATTCTACCGCAAGGGAGTTTTGAAAAGTCAAAAGAAGAGCTGCAAAATGCAGTCACGAAAATTCACGACGCAAAGGCAAGTGCGCAACTTTCGCTGTGCACATTTCGTACTTTTCTAGTAAATGCTTATGTGCCTTCTACTGTGTTTTGTCCTCTTCAATTGCTTGTTGGCTTGTTTTGAAGAGATATTGCTATAATCATTTTTGTGAGGTGTGCCACCTCATAGATTACTGAGTTTTATAATACTACTGAGTATGCAGCACTATATATTTCTCCCTTTACAAACAATAACACGGTCTTGCTGGTTTTCCATTGATTTGGATCCTTGAATTCTGGCAAGTAACGAGTTAAGTGTCGACGTTCTTCAGGTGTTCTGATCTGCTCCTGCCTAGACCGGGTGTTGCTCTGTTTATCACCGACGATATAGCCTTTCGGATTTTGGGAGGAAGGACCAATGAAACGACAAATTCATCCTCTTTCAATTTATAGCACGGTCAGAGGACATGGTTAGAGAAGAGATATGAGTAGTAGTGGTTAATGACTTTCTCCATCAGCCTTCTAGAAGCTGTAGGTGTCCCATCAACTCGTTGGAATGCAACTACCTTGGTCTTGTAATTGGCGAAGCTTTGCTGTGCTTTGCCAATGCTCCTCCCAGCTCTTGCAGATTTTGCCATAACTGCTGCTCTTCTCTCCGAGAGATCTTCTTTTATCGCTTGCTTTCAGCGTTTTGCAAGTGAAGCTTCTCTTGCCTGTAGCTCGAGTGATTCAACGTTGACGTATCATTTGAAGTGTCTACGGAGACAGCCGTCTCTTCGTGACTTTAGGACCCGCAGCTTTTATATCGCTAACGTTAAGTTATTCTACGAGCCGGTCGTATTCCTCGCCGATGTTGTCGACAACGGTGTCATTCCAAGAGCCTTCTAAAAACTTCAATGCATCTCAGTTGGTGCAAGTTCTCGGAATTCATTTTTTAAATCAGTAATTTCCCCTTATCTGATCATCGTTCTGACCCTTCAGAAAAAGCCTATTTTGTGCTTACTTTTGGCGATTAGATAATCATTCCACAGCATTAATGAAACAAAATTGAAACGGTGTTTTTCTTCTTTAAAAAGCCTTGTTATTGCGCTGAAAGAGCAAAAGTAATATTTTGTTACTCATGCAAAGACTTCTCGCTGACCAAAGTTTTCCTTCGAAGTTTCACTTATCAGTCGATTGCCCAAATTTTAAGATCTCAATTATCTATTTGGTTTTCAAAATGGACCACGCATTACGCTGTAGCGGCCAAAACAAGATTGGATTTCGCAAAACTAGGGTTCTTAGATTTTTTTCAGATCACCTTTATATCATCTCCACACTTTGATGCCTTGGAAAAAGCGTATTTTTTGGTCGTTATTAATGTTTAATCAGCCATTCGAGAGTTCAGATTATAAGGACTTCAGTGATCTATTTTATTCTCAATTGTTATTCCGTGCTCTTAAGGGACAAATATTAATTTTTCTTTCTCATTCCAGGATTTCACGCTGATTAAAGCTTTTGCTTTGGAGTTTTAAAAATTGATGGATAGAGAAATGTTAAAATTTCAAGAATATACTTTGTTTTAAATATCAACCTCGTATCACGCTGTAATCTTTCAAATCTGATGAGGCACTAGGAAGTCCATTTAAAAGATCAAAAACACATTTGGAATTTTTGGAATTTGATCTATCGTATGGCTTTTAGAACTATAAAGAGAGGCTCTGGTCAGCGAGAAATCTTCGAATGAATAAGCAATAGCGAGGCTTTTTGAAAATGAAGTACACCATTCAAATTTCTCTCATTTAAGCTATCGAGCTACATGAACTGAGAAAGGTTAGACGGCGACCAATGCAGAAATCCCCTCCTTCGCCGGACAAGAATTTTTTATAAGAGTGTTAGCAGTCATTCGAAAGCTCAAATCTCTGGCTACTGTGGTACTTGAACGTTCCTGGGAAAACTCTTCTACAACGTTGTAATATTTAAAATAAAATTAATATTATATCGGCAGCTCAATTCTGCTATTATTTCACTGGAAACACGAAGAACATACAAATGTGCAGAGGAAATCTCGTAGTATCAGAGTCAAACGTTTTGTCAGGAATTTCACTCAAAATGGAGAAAAAAAATCACATTTGAACGACAAAAATCGCACTCCACTTGCGACGAGCCAACGTATTTCGATCGACCGATGGCGAGCCGCAGCTTCTAATTTACGGCTACCATACATCACGACTGTAGATTAAGCGGCAAACAAGCGCGCCGGCTATGTTAAACACAATCTACTTTTCCTTGTTATGTCGCAGAGAAACGGTCTTTCCAGCAAACAAGCACAATGCTGGACATAAAAGGACTATAAAGTAATTCGAAATGGCATGATTTTGATATCGCACAACTGCGCATTTTCTTAGGAATATTTTGATTTAAAATTCGCTAGAGCTGCTTTAACAAGGAAGTGTCGTGGAAGAAACTCAATTGTCGTTTACGAACGAATGGCGCGCAGGTGAAAATGCTATTGAAACGGTAGGCAAGAATGGAGCTTTCTGTGGACGACCCGAGCGCGCTGATCTTTCAAACTGCTTTCTGCAGCTATGAATTTCGCGGAGCACTCCATACCTGTCTTTTCTGCAACCGCACCATCGCCTCGTGCTTGATTAATATTGCCTATCACATCACTGATGTTTTCCCCTGCGCGCCATTCGTGCATGAATATCAAGCAATTTTGCTCCCATGACAGCTCCAAGTCAAGGCAAGTTGAAGCAAGTTTTATAACAAAATATTCGCAAGAAAATGTGCAGTTGAGTGGTGTCTGAATCATGCAACTTCAATAACCTTATAGATTTGGGTTTGCTGCTCTATTGGCAATTAGTATAGAAGGTTTGCGTCAGGTGGGATTCGAATCCAGTACTTACTATTTCTGGGAGTATGTGCTAAACCGTTGCAGCACCGACGCTCGTTTGGCATCCCACTATTCCTACGCTAGAAAGCGTTATCTGTCAACAGTCAACCGTCTACGGTGTAGCGGGGTTTCATTACCGACATGAACCCACTTTTGTTGACAGATATTGGGTCTCAATAATCAATCGGAAATTATTTATTTGACCGCCTATTGCGGTGTTATGATGTCTCAACGGACCCATTGATGAGGAGTGGTGTGCAAAAAACGTTTGCTTCAGCCGAGATTTGAGCCCAGATCTTACTCTCCGGAATAACACGTTCTAGCGTAGAAAGAGTGGAATGCAGAACAAGCATTGGTGGTGCAACAGTTCAGCATATGTTCCCGGAAAGAGTAAGATATGGGTTCGAATCCCGGCTGACGCAAACGTTTTTGCACAGAACTCCACATCGTTGGGTTTATTGCAGCATCATAACACCGCAATAGGCGGTCAAATAAAATAATTTCCGATTAACTATAGGACGATCTAATACCTTTGTTTTGTCACTTTCGTTACTCTAACTGTCAATAATTGAGAAAATCAGTTAATCATCAAATATAATCACAACACGATCAAAGATACATATGCACTAGCTATGCAGAAACTGAATGCTTACCTAAAAGAAGACGAAGCTTGGAGGTCAAACAAGTCGGTGAGGTCACTTTTAAGCTGGTTGTAGTTCTTTCCATTATTCTTCCTTGAGTACTGCTTCAGGTCGCGGAAGAGATGATAATCCGATGGAGCGATATCAAGGCTATACGGTGGACGTGGTGTGTTGGTTCAGTCCAGTTTCTTCAAAGTATTGAAAGTCGATTTTGCAATGTAAGGTCGAGCGTTATTGTAATGAATGATGCTTTGAGCGGCTTCGGACGCTTTTCTCGCACTTCTGCGGCCAACTTCTGAAGCTGTTCTACGTAGACGTCGACATCAATTGTTTGTTTGTTACAATACATGTATTTTGGCCTTGCAGCCTCGTCAATAGCAAGCTGCCTTTCGGTCAGTCAGCTCCTCTTTAAAAGGAAGTCAACAACGAACGTTTTATACGCGCTGTTAAGTGATAAAATCACCAAACGGGCAGTGTGTACGCTTGATTGCTCTTGGCTGGTAGCTGTAAAATCTGGTACCTTTCGTTTACAGCGCTTTTTGAGATCTTGCTCTAAAACAAAATATAATCTGATAGCTTATTCTCAGCCTCTCCTCAACAACGTGTATTGCACTGTAGAAGTACCTTCACAGATCTTATGGAAGCTCAAAATATGCTGTCACATTACAATGTTTTGAGCGAGATCTCAAGAAACACTCGAAACGAGAACTACTGCTATTTTACGAATACCAGCAAAGAACAATCGAGTGTGCAACACTGTCCGTTCGGTGATTTTATCACTTAACGGCATACCACGGATCATTCCCTTTGAGTGATCCCGTCCGGACTAGCTACGAGGGCAGGTAGCGCGACTCCTGGTTATGGATGTGGTAATAAACGCAAACTAAAAGCTACCGTGTGTATCTCAGAGACGCAGGTGTATTCAGGGGATGACCTCCCCACTTCTGCAGCGCCGACTTGACAAAACTCTGCTACTACGAGTCAAGTCGGCCAAGAGCCTGCAATCAAGCTGCTGGAAAGTGTATGGGAGGCTGTTAGAAGTCGCCTCTAAGGAATAAGCTCTTTCTGCTCTTCCGAAAGGAGACTGCCAAGCTACTCGTGTGTGCCCAGCTCCACGTGTAGAGCCCAACAACTATTCGTTGGGTATCAAAATGCTAAAAACAGCAGCAAACATGGGCCTTACTCTACTGACTCCGAAAGAACCCCCGGTACGGCAGCGCTGGGTAAAACAGTACGAAAGGCAGCTGAAATCTTGGGCCTTAACTAAGCTGCCATAATCGAAGCGGACTAAAACGGCGATGTATACCTATATTGCACGAACACTTACTCATGAATCCGCTGTCAAAGATTTATTGATTCAAGCAAGCAAGAAAGATATGCACGACGTCATTGACCTCGCTAAGACGAGAAGACGCCTTCTTTTTCACGCTGAATGATACTGGAGAAGAACTCTTTTTTGGAAAGGCGATCGCAAGGGTGTCTGCAGAGTTGGCGCACACGTCAAATCGAATTCGACCATAAACATCGATTCATTTGAGCAACTAACAACCCTCATGGGGCGCTGACGGTCGAGACGATGTGGATCAATGCCGCCTTCAACCATCTTCGTTGCATACTCACAAACATCAAACTTTGACGAAGCGGTGCGAATAATTTACCAGAGAAGACCGTGCAGTCTTCAAAATCATCGTTGGAGATTTTGAAGCGAAAATTCTACCCCGAAATGCGTCTGGAGGACGTCATATTGGGACTAAAGAATTGGAATGGAATGAACAGGGTGAGAGGCTATATGAGTTTATCATCACGACCCAGAACATCCATGCTAACTAACAATTCCAAAAACCTCAATTTCAGCTATGAACGTGAAAGTCTGCCAATGGAGAGCACCACAACGAAATAGACTACATCTTAGTAAATCGAAGGTTTTGTCTGATTGTGTCGCTGTTGTTCCTTAGTTTTACACGGAATCAGGCAGGTGACTCCTTCGCGCGTCGTTCCGTTGTCCGCGAAAACGAGAGAAAGCCGCCAAACTTGGAAGTACTCCGTTATCTGTGCGCCATTTCGACCCTTTGTAAGAAACGTATTTTTGGTCTTTTTCGATAAGCAAAAAATCGTTTGATAGCAAAAATCAAAGAAATCTGAATGATATATTTTATCTTTGAAAATCTTATCTTCTTGATGCGCTCATAGAAAAAAAAATAAAAGTTTGCTCCCTCTTTGAAAGATGTCTCGCTGACCAAAGCATTTTCTTCAGAATTTTACCAACCATTCGATAGATTAACTCTCGAAAACCTCACTAATCTAGTTGGCATTCATAATGGATTTGGTGTTGCGCTGTAATAGCCGAAAGAAGAGTGAATTTCGCAAAAAATGGACCACTTCGGCTATCCTCCTTGCACTTCGAACCATTGGGAAAAAAGTATTTTTTGATCGTTTATAATGTTTAGAGAATCAATCGATAGCTTAAATGAGAGAAATTTGAATAGTGTACTTCATTTTCAAAAGCCTCGCTATTGCTTATTCATTCGAAGATTTGTCGCTGACCAGAGCCTCTCTTTATAGTTCTAAAGCCATACGATAGATCAAATTCCAAAAATTCCAAATGTGTTTTTGATTTTTTAAATGGACTTCCTAGTGCCATCATCAGATTTGAAAGATTACAGCGTGATACGAGGTTGATATTTAAAACAAAGTATATTCTTGAAATTTTAACATTTACTCTATCCATCAATTTTTAAAACTCCAAAGCAAAAGCTTTAATCAGCGTGAAATCCTGGAATGAGAAAGAAAAATTAATATTTGTCTCTTAAGAGCACGGAATAACAATTGAGAATAAAATAGATCACTGAAGTCCTTATAATCTGAACTCTCGAATGGCTGATCAAACATTAATAACGACCAAAAAATACGCTTTTTCCAAGGCATCAAAGTGTGGAGATGATATAAAGGTGATCTGAAAAAAAATCTAAGAACCCTAGTTTTGGCGAAATCCAATCTTGTTTTGGCCGCTACAGCGTAATGCGTGGTCCATTTTGAAAACCAAATAGATAATTGAGATCTTAAAATTTGGGCAATCGACTGATAAGTGAAACTTCGAAGGAAAACTTTGGTCAGCGAGAAGTCTTTGCATGAGTAACAAAATATTACTTTTGCTCTTTCAGCGCAATAACAAGGCTTTTTAAAGAAGAAAAACACCGTTTCAATTTTGTTTCATTAATGCTGTGGAATGATTATCTAATCGCCAAAAGTAAGCACAAAATAGGCTTTTTCTGAAGGGTCAGAACGATGATCAGATAAGGGAAATTACTGATTTAAAAAATGAATTCCGAGAACTTGCACCAACTGAGATGCATTGAAGTTTTTAGAAGGCTCTTGGAATGACACCGTTGTCGACAACATCGGCGAGGAATACGACCGGCTCGTAGAATAACTTAACGTTAGCGATATAAAAGCTGCGGGTCCTAAAGTCACGAAGAGACGGCTGTCTCCGTAGACACTTCAAATGATACGTCAACGTTGAATCACTCGAGCTACAGGCAAGAGAAGCTTCACTTGCAAAACGCTGAAAGCAAGCGATAAAAGAAGATCTCTCGGAGAGAAGAGCAGCAGTTATGGCAAAATCTGCAAGAGCTGGGAGGAGCATTGGCAAAGCACAGCAAAGCTTCGCCAATTACAAGACCAAGGTAGTTGCATTCCAACGAGTTGATGGGGACACCTACAGCTTCTAGAAGGCTGATGGAGAAAGTCATTAACCACTACTACTCATATCTCTTCTCTAACCATGTCCTCTGACCGTGCTATAAATTGAAAGAGGATGAATTTGTCGTTTCATTGGTCCTTCCTCCCAAAATCCGAAAGGCTATATCGTCGGTGATAAACAGAGCAACACCGGTCTAGGCAGGAGCAGATCAGAACACCTGAAGAACGTCGACACTTAACTCGTTACTTGCCAGAATTCAAGGATCCCAATCAATGGAAAACCAGCAAGACCGTGTTATTGTTTGTAAAGGGAGACCTTCACGACGTAGGCAATTATCGCCCAATCTGCTTGATGTCCGTTGTCTATAAATTCTTCACTCGAGTCATTCTAAACAGGATTGACAGAACACGGGACGAAGGACGGCTATGCGAGCAAGCATAGACGCTAAAAGGATATAGCACCATAAACCACATCCACACGATCACGAGACTCATTGAAGTTCTAGTGTACATAATACACTTCTGACCCACTTTCATGGATTTGAAGAAAGCCTTCGATTATGTGGGAAAAACAAGCTGTTATAGAGGCTCTGGATAACCAAGGCTTCCCTACTCGATACATAATGGTCCTTTGTGAGCTTTGTAAAGATATTAAAACCAAATATCGCCATTCTACAATCATGTCATCATCAATCTAAGAGGAGGGGTTCGGGA